CAGGTCATCCAGGAGGCTGGTTTATATGAAGAGGACTGTGGCATCAGGATTGGAGGAAGACTCATCAACAACCTGCATTACTCAGATGACACACACTTGTTTGCTGGAACTGAGAAGGACCTGAAGTCCTTGGTGCAGAAGATCGAGGACTGCAGCCTTCAATATAGATTTAATCTCAAAGATTCTCACCACTAGGCTGATTGGGAGCATTATGACAGATGGTGAAGAGATTGTTATTGTTAACAGCTTTGGTTTGCTTGTCTCCACAATCAGCACTCTTGGTACCAGCAACCAGAAAATCAAGAGACAAATTGCATTGGGAAAGCTGGCTGTCAGGGACCTCTCCACGGTACTGAAGAGTAATGACATCAGTCTGGAGACTAAGATGTGCCTAATCCAGACCATAGTCTTTGCATTTGATTGCAAAGTACTGGACAATGACTTGGGATGATAGAAAGAGAATTGATGCCTTTGAGCTGTGGTGCTGGAGAAGAGTGTCGGACTGCCAGGAGAACTAACAGGTTCGTCCTAGAGAGGGTGAAGCCAAGCTATTCCTTGGAGGCAAGAATTCTGAGGCTTCGTCTGACATACTTTGGGCATGTTTCAGGGAGGTACCGGTCCTTGGAGAGGGACATCATGCTTGGAGGAGTGGAGGGACAGAGAAAAAGAAGGAGGTCATCGATGAGATGGATTGATATAGTGACTGGGGTGATGAGAGTAGGTATATCAAAGACAGTAAATTTGGCACAGAATAGAGCAGGTTTCGTACATACGGTTGCTATGAATTGCAAGCAACTTGACAGCACATAGCAACAACAACAACAATAGATGGAGAACAGATTTAAATTGTCAATAATTTTATTATACTTGGATCCAGACCAACACACTTGGTACTAGAAGTCAGGCAATCAGGAGACATACTGCACTGGGAATTTCTGTATTAGGGACTTGTCCAAAGTACTGAAGAGCAATAATGTCAGTTCAAAGACCAAGGTGTATCTGATTCAAGCCGTTTTCTTTTCAATCACCTGCATCTGAGAACTGGACAATGAATAAAGATGACAGAAGAAGAATTGATGACTTTGAGTTGTGGTGTTGGAGAAGAGTACTATATATCTCCCATGGACACCCAAAAGAACATACAGATATGTCTTGAAGAAACTGCAGCCAGAGTATTCCTTAGAGACAAGAATAGGGAAGCTTCCTCAAATCCTTTGGACATGCTATTAAGAGGGTTTATTCCTTGGAAAGGTGGAAGATTAGTATAAGAGAGGAAAATCTTCAACAAGATGAGTTAACCTAACCCTAACCCTCAATGGGTTCAAATCAAGTATGTCACAGATGATAAGGGTGGCGTAGGGTAGGAGATGATACAAATCTGTTGATCATAGGATTATTATGAGTGACACTTGACTCAGAATCACCTAACAATAACAACAATCAGTCATATTTCTAAGAAAACATCACTTCCTGTTTGATCTTCTAAAGAATCAATAAGTTTTAACTAATTGCAAAATCATTCATCTGGCCTTCAAGTGTAAAGGTAAGAAATTTGGAGATGGACCTCAATTAAAAATGTGATGACATTATCATTGTTGTTGTTATTGTTATGTGCCATCGAGTTGCTTGCGACTCATAGCGACCCTATGTACAACAGCTCTAAACTCTGCTCTGTCCTGTGCCAATCTCATTGTCTCCGACACACTCATCCTGATTGCCCCAGTCACCGAATCAATCCACCTCCCAGAGGGCCTTCTCCTCCTGCGCCTGCCCTCCACCCTTCCAAGCATGATGTCCTTCTCCAAGGACCAGTCTCTCCTTACAACATGACCAAAGTATGTCAGACGAAGCCTCAGAATCCAACAGAGTGTGGAAACTATAGAACAAATCATTAACTTAACATGCAAGCAAGATTCTGCTGAAGATTATCCAAAAACGTCTGGAACAACACATCAGCAGAGAACTGCCAGAAGTCCAGGCTGGCTTTAGAAGGGGTCATGGTACTAGGGATACTGTAGCTAATGTTAGATGGATCTTGGCAGAAAGCAGGGAGTACCAGGGGAATGTCTATCTGTGCTTCATTGATTATGCAAAGGCATTTGACTGTGTGGACCATAACAAACTGTGGCTGTCTCTGAGAAGAAGGGAATCCCAGAACACTTGATCGTGCTAATGCAAAACCTATACTTGGACCAAGAGGCAGTCATTAGAACAGAGCAAGGAAACACTGCATGGTTCAAAATTGGGAAGGGTGTACGCCAGGGATGTGTCCTGTCTCCATACCTTTTCAACCTGTATGCAGAGCAGATTATCCAAGAGGCTGGGCTCTATGAGGAGAAATGGGGCATCAGGATTGGTGGAAGATCTATCAACAATCTGCTTTATGCAGATGACACAACCCTGCTTGCTGAAACTGAGGAGGACCTGAAGTGCTTGCTACTGAGGGTCAAGGACTGCAGCCTTCAATATGGATTGAGGCTCAATGTCAAGAAGACAAAGATTCTCACCACTGGACCAATTGGCAGCATCAGGATGGATGGTGAAGAGACTGAAATTGTTCACAGCTTTAGTCTGCTTGGCTCCACAATCAACACTCTTGGCACCAGCAGCTAGGAAATTAAAAGATGTATTGCGATGGGAAAGTCTGCTGTTAGGGACCTCTCTAAAGTTCTGAAGAGCAACGGTGTGTCTCTGGAGACTAAGGTACGTCTGGTACAGGCCATGGTGTTTGCTATCACTTGTGCATCAGAGAGCTGGACAATGACCAGGGAGCATAGAAGGAGAATTGATGCTTTTGAGCTTTGGTGTTGGAGAAGAGTGTTGAGGGTACCATAGACTGCTAAGAAAACAAAGAGATTCATCCTGGAGAGGGCTAAATCAAGCTGCTCCTTGGAGGCAAGGATTCTGAGGCTTCATCTGACATTATCATTGGGTGTGGAAAAGTCCAGGAATTGTCATTAGAAACAAAACAAGAAGGAAATGTCTAAAAGAGTAACCACAACTTTTTCTCTAACACAAAAAATGAGAAGATATGTTGAAAAGTGCCCTTGATAAAAAGTGTAATTTTTTAAAATGCTGCTCTTATTCATTCTACGTATACTAAATTGGCTTTTTTTTGTATTTAGATATTAAGATTTTACTTTTATGGAGCAAAAGTATATTGAGTTCAAATTACAGGAGCCTCAGTAAAACATGTAGAGAAAGACCTTTCCTTTGGTAAAAAGTCTCTGGTCTCCTGCAATTAGAAAGCTTTAACTGGTGTGTTTCATGTTTCATGTTTAGTTAACTAATCACAGTGATTCCTTTTTTACTGCCTCACACTCACTGTTACTAAGTATGTTCTCTATACAATATTGGCAAGAGTTGTTTTTTAAAATTTTGAACCCTGTAAAATTGTTTTCTGTGGATCTCTGGTGGCTTAGTGGTAAAACATTGTGCTGCCAACCGATTGGCATGTGGTTTGAATCTACTAATTATTCATGGAAGAAAGATGTGATATGTCTTCTCCCATGTGATCAAATGTATCTGAAAACCCACTGGAGGGTCAACCATTAATTCTGACTCAGAGGCATATAACAAAAATAATTTTAAATAAAAATAAAGAAAACAAGAAAAAACCTTCCCTTCAATATGGATATATTTAGTTACATTTTCTATGAAAATATTTCTGTAGAGTAAGATTTCAAAACGTAATAGTTCATCTTTTAAATGTTATTACTTTAAACAACCACCAAAAGAACAAAGTAGCCTGGATCTTTTTTAGATTTTTACTTGTGATTTGAATGAAAGCTTATAAAACAAATTCGTTTTTCATATTTAGCTTAGTGGTAAGGAGTTGCACTGTCAGCCCATAGCCATGAAGTTCAAATCGACCAGCTGCTCTGTGGAAGAAGGAATATTCTTCATGCCATTTACTGCCTCTGAAAACCCACCAGAAGGTCATCTATAAGTTGGTCCTGACTCCACAGTACATAACAACAGCAAAACAATGAAATCACATTTCTCCACATATCCATTCATCTTTCCTCTCTAATCTTTCCTGTCTTCTGGGCTTTATCATTGGACAAATGCTATTCTTTTGACCTTAAACGGTTGGTTATTGCCTCCTGATGCTATTGTTTCCCTTGTAGAACTGTCTGTTGTTTGTTAGGGTTCGCTCTTCTAGCCCAAAGGCCACATCTCTCTGGTGACTTGAATCCATCAGCAGCTTCTAGGAGAAAGATGGGAAATCTCCTCTTTTGCAGTTTATACCCTTGGAAACCTTAGGTGGGTCAGCCATGAATTGGCTCCAATTTGATGGCGGTGAGTTCTTGTTTGGCTGAAAGCTGAGCCACAGAGATGAGCTTTGTTCAAAGTTCAAAGAAAGAGGTACTATGGGCAATAGTCTTGGAGGTTCCCTCAATCTCTGTTGGACGAGGGAGTTTAGCTCTTTTTATTGTTTTTTAGTTTTGTATTGTTATTTAGTTTTTAGTTTTCTGTCCAGGACCCACTACTGTGATCCTTTTGGAGTGAGAAACAGTGACAGCTGGGCACCATCTAGTTCTTCTGGTCTCAGGATCATGGAAGTTGAAGTCTGCATGGTTTGTTAGTCTTTTGGACTAATTGTTTCCGTAAAGTTTTGGTTTTCTTTCTTTCTTTCTTCTAAACAGACAGAGACTAGTCTACTTTCAAGCTTTCACTCATAATGGCCTGAATAGTTCTTAAGAAGAATAGCATATTTGTCAGAATGGAAGAAGTAAAGTTCACATTACTAAAAAGGAATCTTATTCTCATAAGTCTATTTTGTAAGTTTTATTACATTTCCATGGTAAAATATTGGAAGATATAGCTTTACCAAGAAGCAATTTGGATGAGATCAATATTGTGACATCTCTGGGGCATGTATTATGTGGTGATTTATTTATGCTGCAACTGAAATGTAAATTAATTGATCAAATGGCTCATTAAAGAGAAATTATCTAAGTAAAAAGCTTACTGGTTACTGTTTTTTTGTTTATTAGGTTCATACCAGAACTGAAAGCTAAATTACTGCAAGAAGCAAAGATCAATTCATTCATAAAGCCAAAAGATAATTCCAAAGAAAATGAACTTATAAAAGATGAAAGAAAAAGAATTTATAGCAATACTCTGCTAAATAGTTCTGGGTTTGGAAAGGTAAAAAAGACTTCAGTTCTCTTTCAAGTTTAACTTTATTATAGTAGCAAAATAACTGTTTCCTTTGCTAAGATTTTGGGTGAATTTATTCTAGGAAATAGAAAAAGATAAAAAATCCAAGGAGATAAAAGTCAGAGTTATTAAAGTGAAAGGAGGAAAAGGAGATAACCTGGAACCAAAAAAGTTAGATTATGAAGCCGGACATTGTCAGCAAGATGTAACTGAAAATGTTCACACACCATCTCAAGATGCAAAACCTGTAATCACTGAACCACCAAGACCTATCAGTCCCAGCATCAGTTCTAATGGCATGAAAGAAAATCTACATGCTGGAGGTTGTACGACAATGCCGCCCATTAACCTAACAAGCAATAATTTTATGGCTGTAAATACCAACTCAAATCTTACTTATTCCAATACAAGGTGAGTTGTAATGGAGAAGAGGTATTATGAAGCAGACCTATGTAAGGTATGCAAGTGTTCCCTTATAGTGGTTTTTTGAAGAATCTATTTAATAATTTCTATATATAAACCTAACTTGAATATGTATTTAAAGTATAATAATATAAAGGGCCTTTTGTAGGGTAGTTCTCACGAATACCAGAAAAGAACCCAATTTTTCCTGACTAGTCAGTTCTGACTCAGTGGCAAAGGATGACAACAATATATGTTGTTGTTGTTGTTGTTATGTGCCGTCGAGTCGCTTGCGACTCATAGCAACCCTATGTACAACAGCCCTGAACTGTTCTATTACTGATGTGCCTTAAAATGGTAAAATAAACTGTACTCCTATATCATAGGCAACTCTTAAATGGAAAAAAGAAGTTGAAAATAATCTTTCACAGCCAAATCATTTAATCAACTCAATGATACCTGTGTTGTTTGTTTATTATAAATTTACTTCAGTATTTCAGCTGACATGGGTTCAGTTCCCAATGCATCTCAGTGTAAGCACCATTTGTTTTTCAACTGAGACTTTCATGTTGTTATCTTGTGGAACCGTTTACAGTGGATTTTCTAAGCTAAGACAGACGAGAAAGAAAGGCCTGGTGAACTGCTTCTGAAAATGTTGTTGTTGTTGTTATGTGCTGTCGAGTCGTTTGCGACTCATAGCGACCCTATGTACAACAGCCCTAAACCCTTCTCTGTCCTGTGCCAATCGCACTGCCTCTGACACACCCATCCCGATTACCCCAGTCACTGAATCAACTCATCTCATAGAGGTTCTTCCCCTCTTGCGCCGTCCCTCCACCCTCGCAAGCATGATGTCCCTCTCCAAGGACCTGTCCCTCCTTGCAACATGCCCAAAGTATGTCAGACGAAGCCCCAGAATCCTTGCCTCCAAGGAGTAGCCTGGTTTAACCCTCTCCAGGATGAATCTGTTTTCTTGGCAGTCCATGGAACGTTCAATACTCTTCTCCAGCACCACAGCTCAAAGGCATCAATTTTCCTTCTGTCCTCCCTAGTCATTGTCCAACTCTCTGATGCATAACAAATGATTGCAAAGACCATGGCCTGTATCAGGCGCACCTTAGTCTCCAGAGAGACACCATGAGGTCCCTAACAGCAGACTTTCCCATCGCAATACGTTTTTTGATTTCCTGACTGCTACTGCCAAGAGTGTTGACCGTGGAAGCCGAGCAAACTGAAGCTGTGAACAATCTCAATCTCTTCACCATCCATCCTGATGCTACCAATTGGTCCAGTGGTGAGAATCTTTGTCTTCTTGACATTGAGCCTCAGTCCATACTGAAGGCTGCAGTCCTTGACCCTCTGCAGCAAGTGCATGAGGTCCTCCTCAGTTTCAGCAAGTAGGGTTGTGTCATCTGCATAACACAGATTGCTAACAGATCTTCCACCAATCCTGACGCCACAATTCTCCTCATAGAGCCCAGCCTCCCAGATGATCTGTTCTGCATACAGATTGAAAAGGTATGGAGACAGGACACATCCCTGGCATACACCCTTCCCAATTTTGAACCATGCATGTTACCCTGCTCTGTTCTGACTACTGCCTCTTGGTCCAAGTATAGGTTTCACATTAGCACAATTAAATGTTCTGGGATTCCCATTCTTCTCAGAGTCAGCCACAGTTTGTTAAGATCCACACAGTCAAACGCCTTTGCATAATCAATGAAACACAGATAGATATTCTTCTGGTATTCCCTGCTTTCAGCTAAGATCCATCTAACATCAGCTACACTATCCCTAGTACCACGACCCTTCTAAACCCAGCCTGGACTTCCGGCAATTCTCTGCTGATGTGCTGTTCCAGTCGTTTTTGGATAATCTTCAGTAGAATCTTGCTTGCATGTGAAATCAATGATAGTGTTCTGTAGTTTCCACACTCTGTTGGGTCGCCCATCTTTGGAATGGGAACAAATATAGATTTCTTCCAGTCAGTTGGCCAGGTGGTTGTTCTCCAGATTTCTTGGCACAACTTGGCTTGGTGAGCACATCCAGGGCAGCATCTGTTAGCTGAAATACTTCAATTGGTATACCATCTACTCCTGGGGCCTTATTTTTTGCTATTTCCTTTAAAGAAGCTTGAACTTCTTCCTTCATCACTATCGGCTCTTGCCCATATGTTATTTCATTAAATTCTTCTGTATCTGCCAATTCCTTTTGATATAATGACTCAGTATATGCCTTCCATCTTCTTTTAATACTTCCTGGATAATTTAATATTCTGCCTAAAGCATCCTTGATTATAGCAACTCTAGGTTTGAATTTGTTCTTCAGTTCCTTGAGCTTAAGAAATGTTGACAACTCAAGGATTGTCAGATCCAAGATGGCAGCGGAGGCAGAGACAGCATGGTGAGCTGCGGGAGCAGCGAACCACTTAAAGCAGGGCCATTATGGCCTCCTACAGACTTCAGCTTATTGATAATTGAACACTTAAACAGTTGATGACTGGACCTCAGTGAAGATTGAGGCTCAACAACAGGAATTCAAGGATTCCCAAGGAGGAATGGGATGGATGCTGGGCACTGGTCCTCCTCAAGACCACTGGAACTCAAGATCACTGCAACTCCAGGTTACCACAGTACAGCATATTGACAGAAGAGTGCTGTGCCACTTAGAAGAATGTTCCTCCAGAATATAATAACAACCGACTTTTAAGCACAAAGGCCCTCCCGGAGGTCTTATTGAGTCTAAACAAGAGGCTTAAACAAAACAAAAACCAAAACAAACCATAAAAAATAGAGTATTTTGTTGTTTTTATGTGCCGTTGAGTTGCCTGCAATGTATTGTGACCCTATCTACAGCAGCTCTGCAGTGAAGCTGTCTTATTGATTTGGGAATTGGATGCCTGGGTACAGTGAAGCCACCACACTCCCACAAGGTGGACTTGTTCTGGAGAGAATTCTTTGAGCCAGGATGGCCACAGTGGGGGAAGCAGGCACCCACCAGCTGCTCGCACAAGAGGGGCCGCACAGCCTGTGAGCGCCCATGCGGTGGGGTGGGGGGGCGCGCCCCCAACGGCCGCCTGTGCTGAGGGGGGCTGCGTGCCCCCCGCTGGCCACCCGCGCTGGGGGGGCACATGCCCCGCTGGCCGCCTGCATAGGAGGTGGGGGATGGGATGCATGCCTGCCATCTGCAGGTTTGGGTTTCCTTGGACAGGCCAAAGAAGACGATTACCTATACAATGGATTGCTGAAAGTCACTGCAAGTCTGATGACCTTAACAGTGGCAGCATGCACAAGAGGACTGACATCCTAAATGCACCACATATTTTGTTCTGTTGAAT